AAATGGTTCATTAAAATTACACAGGACTGAGCAGACATGCATTACATCAGAGAGCAAATCAAGCATTGAATTTGGATAAACATATGTCACAAGTCTGAAATGTTTTGTACGTCCTATCAGTGTTTCAATATGAATTCTTGATGTTGCCACTGCTTTTCCGATAAACATTTCTCTCTCAGTGAATGCTTGTCGATCACCAAGGAATGGAGGTATAATTAGATCAATGCCACGTTTATTCAAATCAGCTTCTATATCAAACCCTCTATCTACCATGACAGCTTCACCCGCATTGATATGATCTAAAATCTCAGACTGAAGGAATAATTTCCTATCTGATATGTTCCCCTCATAGCCTTCACTTATGAATGATAGACCACCATAAGCAGAGCATGCTACCAAGAATTTTGCTGTATTAGTTCCTTTGTACGATGAATAGGTGTTGCTTTGCTGCTCAAAATTTTTTGGCTTCTGAATTTTGATTTCAGTTGCATCAACAATACACCTCAAATTAGGAAATGGTTTTAAAACAGGCAGGCTTATTTTTCTCCTGTACCTCTACTGAAACAAACATAGCAGCCTTCAAAGATTTAAATTTTATGGACATAAATCTCACCCATGTCTTCACAATATTACTGATAGAAGGAGCAGAAAGTTTAAAAAATTTTCCCATGTCTCTTTCTGGATACCCACGTCTCAGTCTTACTAATGTGAGAAGTAAAAGGCCCTTAGGAGAATGTGTACTCTCACATTCTCGATTTGGAGTTGCTCTATCAGTGTAGTACTTCAGTTTACAGTACACCTTATTTCCTCCCAAAAACTTGAAAAGCACTTCAAATGATTTACTTGATATTCCTGTGTAGTACTTGAAGTCTGCTTCAGTCTAAGTGGGATCTGTCATCATCATTTCATATGACAAAAATGGCAATGTTCCACCACTCCCTGTATCACGAAATTCCTTGGGACCTTGTGCCTGTAACAAAAACATATTTATTTTTAAAAATAATTGTCTTGTTGATTAACTTATTTTTCTTTCTTTAAATTACAGCTGTAACAACAACAGGAACGCAGTGCTACTGGAGAAAATCTGGCAATGCAAGAAATCCTGGGCTTCTAAGAGAAAAGCAATAAGAAGGTAGGAAGCCCTTAGGACCAAGACTTAATTTCAATCCAATACCAACTGCGTTCAAAACCGAAGGCCTCAGCGAAGAAGCTTTGAAAAAGCGCTGTTTCCAGTACTTTACAATTCCTTCTTGTTGACAACTGCATAAAATGGCATCTTATGTAAAGAAGCATATTATTTGCAGATTTTTAAATATTTTATCTTGTTTTCAGGAAGTGTTCATCATCATCAAGTGTGTCATCATGCTCTGCAGTCAGCCAGTGACCTGACCGCCTGAGAAATATCAATACCTCAGGTGTACCCTTTGCGCTCCTTCGGATGTCCAGTAATGATCTTCACTCAAGAATGAAACATGTGGCTTCTACCTCAAGATGGCTGATGTTGTGTGCGTGTGGGCGAAGATGGTTCCAAAGTGTGTGCAGTACTTCCTACTTTCCTGTTCAAGCTGTATGATTGTTGAACATGTCTTCTAATAATGGTTCCATTCTCCAACTGGTAAAGAGGATTCCAGAGTTCTAACTATCTGCTCAGTATCATTTATTATTTGAGTCAGTAATTTTCTTGCCTTTTTTTTCTGTTCTTCAGGCATGTCTTGTGGAAGCAGAGGCTTCAGGATTTTTGTGTGTCGCATGGCGCCAAAGGATAATTGAATCTGCATATCCATTCCTTTTCACGTTCTTCTTACATGTGTGAGTGCTTTTGTAATATTGAAGGTTTATCAGATCACACAATGTTTCATCTTTTTTTGGGGGTAATATATTTTGTGCTTGTTCTTCAGTGATTATTTCATTGTTTACAGTTTTACTCAAACAAACTAAAAGTGAATTCCATCTCATTTCAGCTCATAAAGAAAGTCATAAATATGGAACTGGAGCCAAATGGTCTATGCATTGCCATGACTTTCTTTTGTTTTCCGTGCCAGAATGCAGGAGACGATCTGTCGACAGCTACTATTTTGTAGCCGTCATTCTGTTCAACTATGGTAAAGAGGTTATTTTCATTTAGTATTTGTGAAACAGTGACCTTATCAGGTTTTACCTTTTTTCTCAAATTAATACTGATTCTACTTTTCAGGTTACGGATACGGGCTTTGCAGAAATTTCATCACGAGTTTCGGAATATTTGTTGCAACTCGACTGTCATGGTGACGTGCCTCAGCCTTTGCAACATCTACTGGATTATACTTCAACTTGCATTTTCTTCGTTGTCCTCCGTATACAGTTGGGAAGGATAATACATCATTGCTCTCATCCAACAGAAGCGACAGTGGAATAGATCCTTCTCCTGGTGCAATGCGAATTCCAGAATCAACTATAAAACCTCCAGCTTGCAGTGTTTCTTGTTCTTCGAATGCTTCAGTTTCATCTGTTGGTTCACAATCCATTGGTTCATCAGTATTATCTTCTTCCACAGAATTTTATTGTTCATGTAAATCATGTTGTTGATAAAATTCCTGTAACCACGTTTGATTTAAAGTTATCTTGTGATTTTGATATAAATTTGTATTTACCAAGTATGTCGCTGCTTTGAAGACTCTTTCTGGTCTGGGCATTTTCCAAAGCATATGGATTTTTGTTTTTCATCCTTCGCATTAGTTGCATTCTTGGAAGACAGGTTACTGTTTTGACTATGTCAATTGGAATGGTAACTCAATTGCCTTTGAGACCAAATTGTTTTTGATATCCCAATTCTCCTTTTTGCATGAATGGGATGCTTGCTGTTACCAATCTGTCCCCAAGACCTGTCAGTCCTTGCAATTCTACTGGGAGAGGATCAAAATCCAATCCATTAATATCTGCTAATTTAGGAATGTTAACTTTTTCTTAAAAATTGTTAATGCATGTTCAGCATACATTACCCAGTTGTTTTTCAGTTAAATGAGGTCTGTAACTGAAAATTTGTAACAATGGCATTTCTTTTATTAGTTTACTTTGCAACTCTGTAATTGCAACCTGTTCACTCTCTATCTCTCTCTCTGTCAGACTTGAAGATGTTTCTCTCAAATCTGTTCAAATATTTCTTGAACTTTCACTGTTATGGAGGTGGCCCTCATTGCTGAGATGTCCTGGTAAAATACCTTCTCAGGTCTCACCTCATGCCAAAATATTGCTGCTGCTCAAAAAGAAATTGTTTAATCATGCTTCTGAAGTTCTGAATATTTCGTATTGCCAATGGAAATAATTTTCTGTACCAATTGTCACATTTTTCATTTGCTCACCTCATTGTGTGCATGGAGGCAGAAGTCATGTAGTAAAATAGATGTTGCTGCTTAGTTTGCTTGTTATCATCTTTTTGTAATGCACTCATGTGGCATGTCATTCCTTGGAATTAATGTAGCTTAGAAATAATTCAAGTCGTGGTTTTGTGTCAGTGGTTGCTCTGAACTTGTGAGATGTCAATGTTGCAAGGGCTGCTTATCAGTCGCTACGAGCGCATCTACAGATGCGCTCGACACGCTCCACCCTCCCCCCACCTTCCGGTATCAGTCCGAGCAACACGTCTTGTCACTCTTTTTGAAAGATTTTCAAAAGAATAATTGAGCACAACAGCACAAATTGTATCAGGCATTTCATATCTCTGTTCAGTAAATTTATTATGTAAACCTTCCTTATTTTGAGAATGTCAATGGAGGATTACTCTCGGTTCTGTGTTGTAGTTTAGCCAACCAGGTCCAATCTTTTGTGTAAAATGGTTTGAGTTTTGCTCTGTTAATAAAAGTGGTTTAGTACAAGTACTCATCTACCTTTCATTTACCTTATGTCAAACTTTCTAAACAAAAGGGTGGAAGGTAAATGCTTTCAAAGATATTACACGCTTTCCAATCTTGCTTAACAGTTAAATTTCCGAAAAATTTGTGTCTCATAAGGGCATGTTGGGAAACCAGAAATTCTAGACTTTCACTGCACAGCATCTGCTAATTTGGCCCACCCCCCGGTACCATGCCCAGCTGGAGGGTTTTTTCAGCAACCTCTTCTATTACAATGAAGAGGATATTTTCAGTATTTATCTTTAATTCTTTTAGTTTGAAGAATGTGTAAAATTATAAAAACCTCAATCTGGAGCTACTTCTCAACAAGATAATTGCCCCTGAACTTTCTCTACTGCCTGCAAGAAGGGTTGTACACTTTCGTACAACTATGTTAACTACCAAGTTTTTGAACTGTTCATACCTTTCTCCAAGTTATTCTTGTGTTTTGAAAAAAACCTTCTGCCCCATTTAATCACAACAGATAATTGCCAAGTAGGAGGAATTGAAAGTTTTCATTATCGTATATGGTGGCTATTGTGCATTTTGATTGTGATCTCAATAGAAATAAATTATAAAGATAAGTTCATAGTTCTTAACAATTTCTGCTCCTTCCCCAACGTTGCATACTCAATTGACAGGAAGGCATGGGACAAAGGCAGGAAATTATGTATTGTAGAAACAAATTTATTTCTGAAAATTATCAAAATAAAAAAACACTGTAGTACAAGATACAGTTCACTGCTATAGCAGCTATGCCTGGACTAGGTAGGTCAAAACATAAAACTAGGAACAAATGTATTTCTGAAAATAATGATACGATCCAAGTAGACAAGTTCACTGCTAGGCAGTGCTTGGACTGAGTACGGAAAAACATACAATTAAAACTGAAACAAAGGATAAGGTCAGCTATGGTCTTGACTTAAAAATCAAAGTGGAGGCAACTCCAACGTAAAAACATAAAATAAGAATCATCGAATCCCACAATGATAGTTAGAAACAATTAAAATTTTAGAACAGACAAATGGCTGAATCATAATAATATGGTTACATGCAAACACAGCTAAGGAAATTGTTTATAAATGTCAGTCAGACTCCGCAAACTTTCAAATGTCACTTTAAAGCATGTCACAATTAGATTGGATTATTTTCCTTCATGTCAAAATCAGAGCCACAAGAAGGGCACACCTTAAGAAGCCGATTCCGCTGCCCTTCAGTTGAAACCCACTTTTGAAGACATTCCTCGTGGAATAAGTGACCACATTTCGTGTTCGTCATTTTTCCAGAGGCCTTCTCCTTACACACAGGACAGCTTAGGACTTCACTCTTTGGAGGTCGACCCCTCCTCTTCCCAGTAGTCTGGGCCTGCTGAGTAGAAGTCTTCTTGGCGGCAGGCTTCTTAGAAAGAGGGGTGTAGTCAGGGTCATCCGAATTCTTCTTCTTACCCTTGGCAGACCCTGAATTGCGTAGGAAAGAAAATGCTGGAGATGCCACCCTCTGCTTCAAAGACAAGGACTGCCTCTTTCTTGACTCAGGAGAGGGTGACCTCAATTTGACAGAGGAACTTCTCTTGGTTGCAGACGCTTCAGCTGCTAAGTTTCTGGAGACCCTATACTGTGGTTCAGTAGAGGGAGACCTTTCCCTAGATGTTTCTGGCTGATCCAGAAATGACCAGTCAGGACTAGGTGAACGTTTCTTGGAGGTATATTTGGCAGATGCAAACCTGCTGGAAAATCTTGACTTGGTGTCAGGAGAGGACGACTTCTCCCTGGAGGTTTCAGGCTGATCTAGAAATGACATGTCAGGACTAGGCGAACGTTTCTTGGAGGTCGATTTGGCAGACGCAAACCTGCTAGAAAAGCTTGACCTGGTCTCAGGAGAGCGGGACCTGTTCTTGGAAGGCTGGTCCAGGAATGACATGTCAGGACTAGGAGACCTTTTCTTGGAGGTCGATTTGGCAGACGCAAACCTGCTGGAAAAGCTTGACCTGGTCTCAGGAGAGCGGGACCTGTTCTTGGAAGGCTGGTCCAGGAATGACCAGTCAGGACTAGGCGACCTTTTCTTGGTTGTAGATTTGGCAGACGCAAACCTGCTGGAATAGCTTGACCTGGTCTCAGGAGAGCGGGACCTGTTCTTAGAAGGTTGGTCCAAGAATGACATGTCAGGACTAGGCGACCTTTTCTTAGCTGTAGCTTTGGTAGACGCAAACCTGCTAGAAAAGCTTGACCTGGTCTCAGGAGAGCGGGACCTCTTCTTGGATGGCTGGTCCATGAATGACCAGTCAGGACTAGGCGACCTTTTCTTGGTTGT